CTGTAGAGATACCACCTCGGAAACCCAAGGAGGGGTTGCTATGAGTATATGAGTTGGGATTGACTCTATGGCAGTGAGCATGAGAGAGAGAGAGAGAGAGAGAGAGTTTTTGGCTTTGGAAAGTTTCATTATCACCTGTCTTGGTGATTTTCTTTTGAGGTCTATCATATTTGGGTTTCATTGAGCTTATTGAATACATTTCTTGTCTTTCATGATATTAGGGAAAATTTCTTTCAACAAATCTTCAACAATTTTCTCAGATTTTGTTTTTCTTCTTCTTCTTCTTTTTTCTTTCTCCTGTTTCTTCCTGTTCTGGAATTCCAGTCATAGGTAAGTTATTCTTCTTGATGGTGTCTCACATAATTCACATCATTCTTTTTTCTGATTGTTCCTCCAACAGATTAGTTTTAAGATATTTGTCTTGCATTTCATTAATTCTGTCTGCCCTTGATTAAATTCTACTCCTTTACCATTCTAATGCATTATCTATTTCTGAAATGTTAGTCTTAATCTTTTAGATTTCTATTTGCTGTTTTTATATGGTTTCTAACTTTCTATTTATTTTATCAATTTCTTTTGTATTGTTTTTGTTTTCCTTGATCTCTTTCTTAATCTTTTGAAGGACTGTAAGTATAATTCTTTTGAATTTCTTATCAGGTCATTCCAATAGCATTTATCTCTCCAGAAGATATTCTGGCCCTATATTTTTTGTCACTTGCTCGAGCCATCTTATCCTTTTTTGTGTGTGATTTGAAGTTGTCTGTTGTCTCCAAGATGTAATGTTATCATATTAATTTGTTGGTTGTATGTTGGTTTTCTTCACCCTGAATTCTTGTTTTGTGATTTTTTAAAATATACCCAACAGTTGGGCCAGTGTGCTACTCTGGTTGCTAGTTTGCCAGCACTGGAATGCTCACCACCTTTCTCTGGGTGAATTTGATAGCAAGTGGGAATTTGTTCATGAGTGTCTAATTGCTGGTCATATAGAGCAGGCAGGATGGGTGTTGGTTGCTGTCTGTTGTTGATCCAATGGTGCTAGAGTGGGTGGTGGTCCTTGTCCAGTGGGAGAGGCAGCAGGTGTGATGAGTTATGGCTTGGTGGGATCACTAGTTCTTGACTGATGGGGAAAAACAAGGAGGGAGGAGGGAGAAGAAGAAAAAAAGAAAAGAGAAAAAGAAATAAATAAGAGGCAAAGAGGAAGAACTAAGAAGAGAGGAAAAAAAGAAAAAGAAAAAAGTGCTGTATGGTACTGGTATAAGTTCTAGCTGTCAGCC